CCCCCCCCCCCCCCCCCCCCGGTGGGACTCTTTGTACATGTACTATACGGTCTATGGCACAATTTCTTAGTTTATAACTTCTCAAGTTACTGTAATCTGTCAAATCTGTATAGTAGTCAGTGTAGTATGAAATTCAGTTTAATTTATGTATCTTCTTTTGGACTCTGCTCTATATATGCAGTATCAATGTTATCGAGGAGGGAATCATTAAATCAAATTAGTATTGATAATGGATCAACTTCATCATCAGACAAAAGTGTTACTGATACAAACACAATTCAGGATAGTCCTTCAAGATTAGAGAGCACTCAGAGCAGCAATAAAAAAGCACGACACTGTCGGGGGTCGCAGCTTACGCTCAAGTCTTTTTTCCAGAAAGTTCCGAGTGGGATTTTAGATGGCAAGAGTATGAGCGAACATTACAACTCTAATTCCCTTCCAAATGCTACTGAAAGTAGTAAGTCTGTGGAATGGAAATTGAATGAGAGTGAATCTACTCAAAAGGAAGATCTGCTTGAAGTATGTAGCACTTTAGATGATGAAACGAAGAGGAGTGATGCATCAGAGGAGTGGCAGAGGATCCGACAACTCATGCAGAACAGTGTGCCAATTTGCAAGGGCCATAAGGAGCCTTGTGTTTCTAGGCTTGTTAAGAAAGCAGGCTCAAATCTGGGACGTAGGTTTTATGTCTGCGCCCGTGCTGAGGTATGCTCATTTATGGCCAGTGTGTAGCTCCTACATTTCTATACTTGCATTATTAAAGCTCCGTTTGGTAATCGTATTTGGCTTTATTTGTTTATCTGCATAATAAGTGGTTTTTACATATTTAGAAAAAATAGATGTTACCAAACATGATTCCTTAAAGGCTTAAAGAAAAATCAGCAGATTCAGTCATTTGAGCTAAATTGCACTTACCAAATTGTCCCTGAATATCTTAGGAACATCTTACATGGGACTGGGAGTGGGATATTTGGAAGTCTTGGACTGGAATTAAAAAATGCTGAGCACTGAGCATTCTCTTCACCTGTTACACCTGCAACTCTATACCTTTTTGGATGCTCAATTAAGAATGAATAGAAATGCAGCATTAGATGTAAATTCAAGTGGTTTATATCATGTTCAAGCCATTTTTATCCTTTACTATTCTTAAAACATTGTGGTAGGGACCAGCATCCAATCCTGAAGCAAACTGTGGTTACTTTAAGTGGGCATCTTCAAAACCCAAAGGCAAAAGCTAGTAGTAACCGTTTCCATCTTGGCACACAAGAGTCTAAGGAAGGCTTCTAACAAAATTGTCTTTCAGGTCAGCAAATTTTAGGAATCTTCTGTGCTATACCGATTTTCATGATTGCTTTCATAATTATTCAAAATGTGTTTCTTTTAGAGAAATGCCTGAGCTTGATGTATCCAATGAGCATTTTGTTCTCCATCTAAAGAAAGTTCTAATGAAACTCATGGGCTGCTAAGATCTATGAATCTTACCACCCAGACCCTGTACAGAGCTTTTTCTTTAAGAGCTCACATGAAGGCTTTTGTGGATTATTTTGAAAAATATATATACCCGTAGTGTTTAAAAGTGATCTTCATAGCTTTGGGTTTTCAAATTCCTTGGTTTTTGAATTGTAGAAGCATGTAGCCATATTGTTTAGACTTTAGGGTTATAGTGATGCTGTTGAGTTTGTTAGTTTATTACTCTGCTATTCATCAGTGTAATATCCACTATTTCTGTTCGTTAGGGTAACTCATAATAAGGAAGGGTCTAGTTTGGTTTTTTACCATGCTAGGGGTACCTACCTTTCACCCCACCTGCTAACAGATAGCCTTATTGTTTAATGTCTCTAAGAAAATTGGAGTGAAAGGTGGGGTTAGAGTTGGGGTGACTTTAGCATTTCTTTTTATCGACATAATCAAGTGAGATTGGAGACTAATGAAAATTCCAAAAAGGGTGCCGAGTGTTTTTATAGGTCCTCCGACATGGATTAGGATTCAATAATACC